CAAATTTGTATTTTCCAGCTCTGTAGGTTGAAAGAGTCTAGAATGAATACAATTTGGTGGCCACATGCATTCCTATTTTGGTCTCAAAATGCCATTTTCCCCTAAAAGGAACTAAGACCCCTTGGAGAAATAGCTGATTCTAGGGGAGAAGCAACAAACTAAAATGAATAAAAAACAATATAGACTTGGAACTTCAAGCTATGTCTGAAAGTAAGAAGTGTTCAAAGATTTATGGGAGTATGCTCACAGGACATGGGTATCAACATAAAGGAACTTCCACTAACTAAATCTGGAACACTTGGAGTATCAAAGTAGAGATAATAATAGACTATGACCAATTAAATAAAATAGGAAACCATGAGTCCATATAGCTATAATTAGTTAAGGAAAAGGAAGGGTTCTCCTTCTAGGAGACTATAACTGAGAAATGCAGAAGGAAGGATGGCATCAGAAAACCACCATATGGCAACTATCTCAGTAACAATGAATTCAACCTAAAATAGTCAACAGATGCTAAAACCAATGGGTCAAAGTTTGATGAGTAATAAATATTTCCCTAGTTTTACAAAATATGTATTAATTACAAAGGAGAAAAAAATGTATCTTCACAAACGAGAAACATAGCAGACGCCACTCTAACCAAAGGGTCAAAGTTGACATCCTGAGTAATGAGACAAACCCACATCAGGGGCCTTATGATATGATGCTCTGAGCACCCCAGCTACAGTATTCCTGCAGCAAATGCATAACCTGAAACCACTTGGTAGGAAATATTTGAGCGATCTGGAGTGAAGGACATTTTACAACACCATGGGCCTTTATTCTTTAAAGATATCAATATTGTGAAAGATGAAGAGCAGTTGAGGAATTGTTTGAAAGGTTTTATTTATTTGAGAAAGAGAGAGCCCATGCACACGTGCAAGCGAGTGGGAGAGGGGTAGAAGGAGAGACTCTCCAGCAGACTCCCTGTGGAACGCAGAGCCTTATGCAGGGCTCCATCTCAGGACTTAAGATCAGGACCTGAGCCTGCAACCTCAGCCAAACTAAAGTCCCACGCTTAACCGACTAAGCCATCCAGGCAACCCGAGGCATTGTTTTAGATTACAGAAAGCCAGAGGCTTATGACAACTGAAGAAAATGTATGATCCAGGATTTTATTTGCTATAAAGACCATTAGTGGGACAATTGGAGAAATCTGCATAAATTCTTTAAATTAGACAATATATACCATCAATGTTAATTTTCTATCAGATTTTTATATGTGCTTCTATAGGAGAATATCTGTAATTTTAGGAAATATACACAGAAGCATTTAGGTGTTAACATGTATAATGTCTGCGAGTTACTCTTAAATGGGAGAGAAGAGAGCTTGGAGGAAAGAGAGGAAGGCATACGGGAAAGGAAAAGAGAAAAAGAGAGGGTTAGGGAAATGGAGAGGGGGACAGGGAGAGGAGGTGGGGAGAGAGATTCGTAAAGCAAATGTGGCGAAATGTTAAAATGTGGGAAATCTAAGTAAAGGCATGTAAGGGATTATTTTGTACTTCCCTTCCATCTCACCTGTAAATTTAAAACTAGGACACAATGACAAGTTAAAAAAAATGTACTTTTGATTGGATAAGTTCACTTGTAAGAATCTCTCTTCAGTATATAAGAGTATAAAATAACAATTTATATACAAAGTGTTTATTATAGAATTATCTACAATATAAAACTAGAAACAATACATATATAAACTAATAAGAGAATGTACAAATGTTTAGACATAAGCATTTAAAAATACTATATAGTTAGTGAAATGAAGTTTTTCCAAGAAATTTAGTTAAGTGGAAAATGCTATAATGATAATAATTATAAATATGAACTCAATTATGCAAAAATATATATAAACTAAAAAGGAGGTATACTAATATGTTCATGGAGCATTTCCTTAAAGAGAAGAACTGAAGATTACTTTCTTTAAAATGTATTGATTTTCATACTTATTCATAATTAACATAATACCAATAAGAAAGAAAGATATTTATTTTCATAGCTTCTAATTTAAGATTCTGTTTGATCTGAACAGCTGTGAGGTTTTCAGTAAAAGAATATGGTGGCCTGGGTGGTGCAGTTAAGCATCATTGGATTCTTGGTTGCTGCTCAGGCCTGGTCTCAGGGTCATGGGATTGAGCCCTGTGCCAGCCTCTGTGCTTTGCATGGAACCTGCTTGGGATTCTCTGTCCCCCTCTCTCTCTCTCTGCCCTTCCTACTTACATTCTCTCTTCCTCTCTCAAATAAATGTATAAACATTAAAAAAAAAAAAAGAATATGGTAGTCAAAAAATAGAAGAACTTTTTCAATAAGATTACCTCAAATATGGGCACTTTAGAAACCTCAATTTATAAATTAGCATACTAATTAGAAATTTTAACTTGTCAACATATTGGTAGTTTAATAAATTTTTTGCTACTTTTATTTCAAAGTAATAGGATTACACTTACTCTTCCTAAAATACACATTTCCTTATTTCAGACAGACCTTCTCTCTACTAAATACATGTACATTATACGTCATTCTGAGATGTGAGTTCCAAGGATGGGAAGTCACTTCTGGTAAACTGGCAGATGCTTTCTGTAGAGGAAGGAAGACTTCACCATAGGGATGGTAGCTATAATTTCTCCCTCATTTAAAGAGCTTATAAAATGTTGGCAAGGAGAGACTTTGCTGAAGATAACATAGGAATATGTTATTTATTTATTTATTTATTTATTTATTTATTAAGATTTTATTTATGCATCTGACAGAGAGAGAGACCAGAAGTAGACAGAGAGGCAGGCAGAGAGAGAGGGGGAAGCAGGCTCCCTGCTGAGCAGAGAGCTCAATGTGGGGCTCGATCCCAGGACCCTGAGATCATGACCTGAGTTGAAGGCAGAGGCTTAACCCACTGAGCCACCCAGGTGCCCCACATAGGAATATTTTAAAGAGTTGCTAGTCAGGGGTAATTTGAAATTTTAACAATGGTTGTGGTGAAGGATGCTGGGGCAATATTTCCAAGGCTGGAACCTTTTCTTTCAAAGCAGACACACCTATTATTTATTGAGGATTTCTTCTTCACATGGGGTTGGTTCAGGCAACTTTCTGAAATAACAGAGATTGTTTAGAATATTCCACATTCCTGAAAGTAGATATCAGGAGAGAATTCACAAAAAGGAACACTTGTTAAGCAAAATGAAAAATGACTTGAAGTTGGGTCTCATCAAAACCATGTTGGTAAATGGAAACCAGTAATATCAACAACAATTAATATGTATTGACTATATACTGTTTGCCTAGTGCTTTGCCCTGCCTCACCTTCTTTATTGCTAGTTTCTAAACTGGATAGCCCAAAAAAGTTAAAAGTAAAGATTGTCTTGCAATAACTTAGTACCATCTTCTATGCTTAGTACCCAAATAGCTTAAGGAAGATAGCCTGGGTGATTTGTTTATGGGAGACAGAAATTGAATTCAAGCAAGAAATCCCGGAAGTTGGGCATCAGGTGAGCCAGAGGATTTGGCAAAGGAAGGCATGAGGCAATGTTTCCATTAGGGATGATTGGAAAAGAAAGAGGCTGGAAAGGAAATATCCATGGGCTGCTGGATTGCCAAGAAGAACATGACTCATCAATGAGAGATTTGTTATCTGAGCCTCTAAGTCCCTTCTTGAAAAGTAATACTTCTCCTGAGGTGGATTGGACTCAGGAAGAATGAGATGTGGGAATCTGGACGGGTTCCATTTCGAGGGGGAGTGATACCAGACTACACTCTGCCGCCAGTACCTTAGAGGAAAGGTATTGCGTTTCCTGTGGACTTTGTTACAGATGGACAAGCCTGATGGACAAGTGGAAGCAAAGGAGACTAACCATTTCAAACGAGAAAATCTTCCAGTGAGCCTTTACTCATGCCTGCAATCTGTCTTTTCTTTCTCCTCCTCCTCCTCCACATTTTTTCCCACATGTCGAAATCCTGCTTTAGTTTAAAGGTCAACCCACAAATACAGTCTCCAGAAGAATCTTCCCTGATCTGCTCCAGAAACAAATGGCTCTCTTCTTGGTGCTTTCATTTCACTTCCCTTATTCTTTTTGTCACATCATGTCTCGTGCTGCCATGGCTTGCCTTTTACTTTAGCGATTGGCATAGATGTCGGTCTTCGATATCATGAAAGCTCTTTGAGGGCAGGGACACATCTTATCCTGTTGTCCCTAGATCATCACTCAGTGCCTTGCCCAAATGAAAGATCAGTAAGTATTTGTTTGTGAAGTGGCCCATCTGTGCCATATGCTTTCACAAAGTGAAGATTATGAGCAGACAAGAGGCATAGTGTGACAACAGGCGGGCAAGATGGAATAGGTAACAGATCTAGGAACACGAGAGAGAAAAGTCAACTAGCTACACCATTCACTCGCTTTCCTCCAAGATGTATTTGTGAGTTGATCTGAAGTCAGTAATGACACTTAAGGCCCTGAGAATCAAAGTGAGGGCCGCACCGTGCTGCTGGAAGAATGCTGGCTTCAGACTGAATGTCTGCCCACCTGACTTTCAGAGGGCATCTAACTGCCATGCACCTTATCCTCCTCACCTGTGAAACAGAGATGACATACATGCCTTCCCTTTGCACCGGCTTGTTGTCAGAACTCATGAGGTCACCAGGAAAGTGATCTGGAAGCTCAGAGTTCTTTTCCTCATTATTGCATCAGCATCACGTGGGAGGTGGTTAGAAATGCAGGACCTCAGGCCCCACCCTAGACCTCCTGAATCTGAACCTGCATTTTAACAAGGTCTACAAGCAGTCTTCATGCACGTGAACCATTTCAGAAAGTACTACTCTAAGGAGCTAGAGAATATAATATACAATTGTTCATGAGGTCTGGTGTGTATGTGTTGGGGAAAATGGATGTGGACTCGGTCCTGGTGACTGAGCATTGGAAGGGGAGCCAGACTGTGAACGGAAGGGTGCTCACAACCAGCCACTGAACTGGTGAGGTAGGAAACAAGGGACCTCTTCTGTTACATAAAAAATGGTAGGTGGGCTGATCCCTCCGACATGTGTTCCCTTGACGCCAACTTTGCTAAGTTCTTTACCCTGTCCTTTTCTCTCATCAAAACTTATCTATATTGTGTTGTTCTTTCTCAACAATCCTTGCCTCATGAGAGTTAGGTAATATAAAATAAGGACTTAGTATTAGGTAGTATCTCAGAAATTTGCATGATGTGAAAGATCTTCCTGAGATAGAATTTTCAGCCCAAGAGTTAGGTGGGTAGTAGAAAATTTAGAGTGCCAAGGAAGACCCAAAGGGCTCATTAAACAATACCATGTTGAGGATTGTGGCTGTTAATGACCAGAACTTTGTGTATCCCAGAGTGGTAGGATGAGGGTAGGACTAGTGGATTTGCATTCACAGAGGGCAATAAGATTTTGAGAAGTGGCTAGAGGAAGGTTGGAAATGATCTCGATCATGAGAGTGACTATGCATTACATACCTACTGTGTGCTGGGCAGTCTGCTGCACATTAGACCTTTGCAAATATTATCCCATCTCATCCATGCTTTAACTCTATAATCCTTATTTTATAAGCATAGCAGCTGAGGTTATAGAACTTGCACAAGGTCACACAGCTAGTGTCCAGTGGAACCAAAATTGGAACTCGAATTGGATGGATGGCAGGGCTAAAGAAGTACCTCTGGATATCTAATTTTTGATGCCATAAGCACACATATAAGAAAAATTAGAAGGACTGGTGAGGACAAAAAATTCCCCCCTCTGTACTTTTATTTCTGTGTGAGACAATAATATTTCATAGTGGGAGTCAAGATTTTGGATAGTAACTAGGATACTCTTTAAATTTTATCCTTGAGTTTGTACTTGCAAAATGAAACCCCAAAGTATTACCACTTTCATCAAAACTTTGTTTTGTCTTTTGCTGAATTACAAATAGTTCTTGTATGAAGACATCATGAGGGTTAATTGAGTCTGACCTGGAAGAAAATGCCTACATGTTTATATGAAAAGGTAAGAAGTTTTGTATTCATAAAATTCTATCTTGTAGAACAAATTGTACATTCTTTCTTTATATGTTTTAACAGCAGATTCTAAAGGACAAATAATTTTAAAGATTTTTGAGCTTATAGAGTTAAGAAAGGATAGAGCACTAGTGTATGCTTTTTAACAATTTTTTGGGAAAATTACAATTTTATGCTCTTGTGTAGGTATACACACATTCTACCAGATACAGGATATAACAATTTTAATTTCAGAAGACCAAGACTTTGGAATGATATATTAATATATTCCATAATAACAGTCCTTGAATTTACTCTCCTTGGTTTCTAGGAGTTCCAGTGTTAGGGGCTGAAACACACATGATGTTCTTCCCAACCATCTGGGAACACAGATGTTTAACTGCTATCTAATAGGGGTCACTTAAAAAAATAAGTGGGCCAGAGCAACAGAAAACCTTTTTTTGCAAATATAATATTAGTGCATCTGTTCTAAGGACATCATTTAATTCTCTCTAGCTATATGCTACAATGAAGGCAGAGAAGATTTAAATTTATAGGGGAAGCAGGAATGTTTCAAAGAGTTAGGAGCGTGGATTTGATGTCAGCCACTGCTTCAAGCACAACCTCCACTGTCTATGGGAATTTATATAGGTCATTTAACCCCTAGTTATCCAATAAAATAGTGACAGGAATGGCATCTGTACAATGTGGAAAGGATTACTGGGAGAACTGGAAGGGAGGATGCATGCTAAGCTTTAGCACAGGACCTGGCATATTACAGTTAAGAGAAAGCTGCTTTTACTGAAAACTGACAAAGGTTACAACTGATTATTTACAACAAGGAAAGGAATTCTGACTTCAGCTATATATGGGAGCTCTGGATGGAAACTGGGTGAATTAGCATTAGAATGATTGGAAAATGCTTTAGAACTTGGCCATTCTCAGCCCCTTTCTAGTTTCTGCTCAATTACTAAGAACTGTGGCTTTATACGGGGTCCTGTGAATTTCTTAAGGCTCAACAGAGGGGACTTCTGAAAGAAAATGGAGTTCTGGTAGATTTATTTTTTGTATTTGTGCCAAGCCCTTTAAGATGCCCTATAATTCCACCAAGAAGATTTTCGAAAGTTCTACCAGCTTGGAGAATCTGAACACCAATGTCTAGAGGATGATGGGAAATTTGATAACTAGACCAATGTGTAGTGGATCATGTTCCTGAAAGATCAGCAAAATCTTGGATCAGGCTGTGGTCTATACTTCTGTTCTTCATTGAAATCTTTCTGCTTTAAAGGCCAGCAGTGGTCTTCACTAGGAAGTGATTGAGTACTCTGTGGGAAAATGATAAATCACACACAAACCTTTTCATCTTCATATAATTATGGTTTAAATTGTATTGTTTATGCATAAAAACATGGATGAAATTGTGTCTTCTCAGCAGCTGGTTTGAGGATTTTTTTAACTGAGGAAATGTGGCCTTTGCTGAGAAGTTACATTCAACCAGCTGTGGAGTTGGAGCAAGTGTGGGGCTGGGACAAGTTTTCATGCAGAAGAAGGAAGTGACTTTACATTTATAAGAATCAGAAGCTGCAGTTGAGGCAAGGGGCCAAGAGAGATTGAGAAGCCACACGGGGGTGGGGGTGGGATGAGAAAGAGGGAAACCCACTGGGTACTTAGAAAAGAGCCTGGATAGGAGAGACTGTCTTGTGGGGACCTTTTTGAGATCATCACGGTGGACTCTGAGGTAGAAGCATCCTCTTTGTCTCACTGAAAAACTTCCACAGAATTTACATTGCTCTCCAGTGCTCACAGTTTAAGCAGATTCTTTTTTGGAGAACACAAAAAGCTACTGAGGCTGCCTCAAAGTAGACATGAGGGGAAAATGGAGCCTGTGTGGGAGGAAAGCGACATATGGTGCCCATAAGTGGCACATGCTAATTGTGGAGAAATGAGAAAATATGGGTGAGCAAAAGAAAAGAAAGGAATCGTCCAGATTTATGCCATCCCGAGACAGCTATTCTTAATGTGTTGATGGCTTCTGGTCCTTGTTCTAGATTATTGTGCACATTTGTGTTGTTCTATTATACTTTTCTTAAAAGAAAGTGCGATCCATGCAGTAAATACTGCCTTCCAACCTTTTTCATGTGTCTAACAATATGCTGAGGCCATCCCTCTAACAGCAGGGTGTTTCTGGTAGAGGCATGTAGAATACTCATGTGAGAAGTACTGGTTTCCTGCCTGGTGCTCTCACCATTACTGGTCTCATCTTATCCTGGTGGCTAAATCCTAAATAGGTATCTGGTTATTTCCTTCAGGTAAATTTTCCCTTCTCTGCTTCTTCCTCTCACCCTTTCATTCATCTGTCCGTCAATGAATGGCTGCTGTCTGAATCTGCTTGGGCTACTGTAGCAAAATACCAGACTGGGGGACTTAAAATGCAGATATTTATTTCCCAGTTTGGGACACTGGCAAGTTCCAAAGAAAGGTAGTGGCAGCTTCAGTTCCCGGTGAGAGTTTCCTTCCAGACTTGCAGACAGCTGACCTCTCTCTGTGTCCTCACATGACAGAAAGAGAGAGAGAGAGAGAGAGAGCAAGCCAGCTCTTGTCTCTTTCCCTCTTTCTGTAAGGAAGACCCTAAAGACCTCATCAGACTTAATTAACTCCTGAAGGGCTCACCTCCCCATAATATCACATTGAGGGGTAGAGTTCCAACACGTGATTTGTGGGGTAGACACAAAACACTTAGATCCTAACAACTGGTGAATGTTTCCTCAGTAATGGGCCCTGGTTGAGGTTCTGGAGATACAGATTTGTTGACCTCCTTATGGAATACACAGGCTATGAATCAAATGCAGAAAGAATAATTTAGGGAAGTCATGCAAGATTTCACTGAAGAAGTCATACTGGAGCTGGGATGCGAAGGATGAACAGGAAATAATTAGGGGAAGACAGAAAGGAAGAGGATCTCAGGGAAAAAGAATAGTAGGTGTAGAGACTTGGAGACAGGAAGGAAAATTCTAGAACAAAGGACTGAATGAAGATGAGTATTATGAAAGGAGACATGGCCAAGAGGTTGCCAAAAACTGCCGGTTCAAAAGGATCTAGTATTTCCAGGCCTTATTTTAAGTAAAATTGCCCTTAAGAAATGTTATATCACATTTAATTGTATTGCATTTGAAATATTCCATTGAGTTAAGTTATTCCAATGAGAAAATTTAAATAGAAAACTACCAGACTATGGATATGGTAAGGAGGAGTTTGAGTAAACCTGAATGAATCTTCAAGAACATATAAGAATTCCCACTTTAACAGTATTTGGGACTCCTTTAACAGCCCATAACTAAAAGCTCATCTGGGTTGGGCTTAAAAGAGATACGCCGGTTCCTAATGAATAAACCAGCAGTGTGACTAGATGGGCTTAGTCATATTCGGTAGGTTCTTCCAAAGGACCATTTCGTCAGTCACCAATCCTGGGCCCAGTCTTTTCTCAGCCAGCAAAGTATGGCATCCACAGAGCAAAACCATGTGGATGAAAAGCAAGAATGCTATTGCTCGGTTGACAGAACTCCATGATATTGTTGGACAAGGCCCAGAATTAAAACACAATGTCATGAACACTTCCGTGATTTTTTGCCATGCTGACAATACCGGTGAGAATTCTAAGTATTATTTGTTGCTCAAATGTAGTATTTGGCAATCACTTTGCTTTGGCTTGGGAGGCCACTAGCCCACATTAGAGCGTTTGTGTGAATAGGAAAATGGCACCCCCTACGGCAGATGCTTGACTTAGTGATGTTAGAGGGCGTCTGTGTGAATTAGGAAAAGGTACACCTCCCTTTGCGCTCATCAGTGTAAGTCACACCAGGGAGTGCAGCATGGTCAGGGGACTGTTGGGAGGACTGGGGCTTCACTTGCCCCCCGCCCCCTGGAACCTGGGTGTCAGGCACAACCAACAAGAACACACCAATGATTTTGCTTTGCCTTAATCTCATTTTGATGTCAATAAGGGCTATGAGGCTGCTTGCCTCATCTTTACTTTGGTGATTTTTTAAAGCAAAAGTGAGGTGCACCTGGGTGGCTCGGTGGGTTAAGGCCTCTGCCTTCAGCTCGGGTTGTGATCACAGGGTTCTGGGATTGAGCCCCACGTCGGGCTCTCTGCTACTCGGAGAGCCTGCTTCCTCCTCTCTCTCCCTGCCTGCCTCTCTGCCTACTTGTGATCTCTGTCTGTCAAATAAATAAATAAATAAATAAAATCTTAAAAAAAAATAAAGAAAAAGTGGAAAAAAAAAAAAAAGCAAAAAAACCAACCAAACAACAAACAAAAAACCCCAGGCTTAAAAACCACCATTTTTCTTTTATTTGAGGTCCCAATATTTGACCCAGTACATTACCTGCCCTTATTGTCATACTGAGGACAATTGATCACATTGCATGAATAATTTCTTACTTCCACAGGAAAGTCAGCAGACTTGACCCATTTTTACTTATGATGAAGGAGACCATTAATTTTCAAGATTGCTCTTTTCTTACAGTGCTGAGTTACACTATGCTCAAAGCATAACTTTGCTTTACAGATGCTTTTCTGGCTTTTATCTTTCCATTTATTAGTGGTCTAGAAGGACCCCTATTTATGGCTCTTTATTGATGCTTCTAGGAAACTGGTAGCAATCTAAAGGGAATATACTAATACTATAGTAAATGGAATTGATTCTCTAATTTCCCTTTCTATTTTCCCATTGTTAGAGTATAAGAAAACAACCGATTTCTGTTCAACTTTTGATCCTGCCACATTGATTTTGTATCCTGCCACATTATTGAATTGCAGTATAAGTTCTAGTAGTTTGGGTGTGGAGTCTTTTGGGTTTTCCATATAAAGTATCATGTCATCATAAGATACCTGGGAATAAACCTAACCAAAGAGGTTAAAGGATCTGTACTCAAGGAACTACAGAACACTCATGAAAGAAATTGAAGAAGACACAAAAAGATGGAAAAGCATTCCATGCTCATGGATCA